ACACTCCATGCTGAGACCAATTTTATTGGTGACCTATTTTTCATATTTGCAGCATTTTATGTTAAAAACCTTCTCCCTGGCCCCTTTGCACAGGGCAACACTCAGAAAGGAACAGTCTGTCTCTGCTGCATTTAGGTGCAGAGAGCTTTGGTTAAATTCAATAACAAGATGTTCGTGTGTGTGTGCATATATAAATACATATGTATAATTATTCATTATATTTGGTCACTACACTATATTTGTTAGACCTCAATTGACTGTATTTGCCTTCCTAATAGTAAACATTACAGAACTATAAATATTGCATATGGTTAATTATTATGCCTCTGCACTATGCCTGGCTTATCCCATGCACTCAAGTCCTCATGTAACGCACTACAAACAAGAAGGTATCTCAAAGATATTTTGGTAATGAGAGAGAGAACCTTGCAATCAATGGGAATTCTCAAACTTAAACACTTAGAGGAGAAAACTGCATAACACATTCCCATGAGCTAAACCATGTGCTAAAGCATTGCTTGCCTAGATAACATCCCAAGGCATTTTAAATAGTGCCCAGTCAACGTTATCACGTAGTGTGAAAGCTTCAGTGAGAAACACGTTTTAGCATGGAGGAATTTTGTAACCTTATTTTATACAAAGTAAATAATCTCTAGTATACAACAGAGAACCTGTTTTGCATAGAGCAATATAAATAGCCCATTTACTCCATTGCAGGTGTGTTCTTCCTATACAAATGCTTTTCTCACTTTTATGGGAACCCTTTAATTTTTTTCCTCTCCTGGTAAAAATCACAGATGTTTATTTTATTGATATAACCTATACCTTGGTTATGCAGAGAATAATATGCCTCAACTAACAGTCATTTAGCAAATAATAGAGGCGTTCTGGATGCTTTCCAACGTTACACATGTACTTGGTCATAAAATGATACGTGAAAAAATTAACATCTGCTTTCCTAAAATAAAGTGTGCCAAGGAGCTTTTTATGAATGCTTTCCTCATTTTAAAAAGAAATATGTAGAGATAAACTGGCATCCATATGTATAGCATATTTATAATGGTTTTAGGATTTAAAGGTAGCTATTCATTGCATAAGCCATTTAGAACTGACGTTTTAAAAGCTACTTAACCTCAGACATCCTTGAATCTTAAAGAAGGATTCCAAACGATATTATTTAAAGAGGAATTTGCTGTAATTTAATTGCATATCAAGGCGGAACTATGCACAAGTCTTGTATCTTATGCTGTGTTTAATAGCAGTCTCACTTACATTTTATTTACCTAGCCTATTCCCTTCACGACAGGCGACTGGAAAGTTTAGTTGAAGTTGTTTCTTTTTGTTAAAAAAATCCACTATTAGGAAATGAGGCAAACCTTGGAATTATTTCATTAAGCTTTGGCCTTTGGGGGGGGGGAGGAAGAAGGTGGGAGCTATAATCATTAGTGCCTTTTTATTATTTCTACAATAAGTGGCTAGATTCTTTGCTGAATGAGCTGCTTGAATGTTTTGCAGATGTTCCACTTAGACCAAAACTGACCCCCTATTTCCTCCCAAATAAGTCTCTTAAACTCTCCCATCAGTGCATTTACGGGGGGGGGGGGGGTGATCCCTAGGTTTGCAAGGAATAAAATATGAACTGTATACATATCTAAAATATAAGCACACACGTGTATGTACATATATATGTATACACACGCACACACATATATATACACACACACATATACCCCTTCATATGTGTACCATATAAGAGAACCTTCACTGACAGTTGCCTTCTGAAGGTATTTGGCCCTATTATATGTTATACAACCGTTGTTACATTTCGCTTGCTCCTCCCAAACTTTAGCCTCCCCCATCCCCCAGCTGCAGGTGTTTGGCCTTAGCCAGCCTTAATATTAAGTGTGGCTTAACAGAAGAAATGCCATAGCTAGATATGCACTACAGTCGATAAAACAATCTCCTCCAGCTAGAAACTCAAATGCTCTAAGGAGGACATTGCTAACTGTTTGCTGGCGCTTTTGTGGCCTACCATTGCTCTGGTTAGAGACGGGTCTCCTCGTCTGACTAAAGAAGGCAAATCGCTAATCTTTGCTGTTCCTTGAAAACCGGTTGGATGGAACTATGTGTGGGGGAATAAGGGGTGGGCTCTGTGTGTGTGTGTGTGTGTGCAGGAGAGAGGACGGGAGGCTGCCTTGTGGGTGTAGAGGAGCGAGGTTAAAGAAATGGCCCCTTTCTGAGTGACAGGGCCCTTTTTCAAAGGCCAAACAGAAAATTGCTCCTAATATGAATAGGAGAATTTTCAAGGTTCCACAGATTTCCCCTTGATTTTTATTTGCATTTTGCTATAAATCTGGGCGTGTTGCTAAATAGAAAAGTGTGTGGCTGCTTCAAAAGGAAAAAAATGACCCTCCATTAACTTAAAAAAAAAAGATCCTGGATTGGTAAAAATCATTAAAATATGTTAAGTGACATGAAGTTTGGATTTATGTGGATGCACCGGACAGAAAGTGGACAAAGCCAGCAGGGGTAGTCACGCTTTAAGACAGGGGGTCTTTATTTAAAGATGGTGTATTTATGGGGAAAGAAAGGGAATATCTTACAAAGCTCTCACTATACCACTGATAACAAAACCTGTCACATCTTCACTTCTTACTAGAAAAGAGATAGTGTCCTCATTTGAACATCTCTAAAGTGATTATTAGATGCCTCTGTGAGAAATCAGTTTGGGAGAGTAAGCCCAGAGCACAAAAAAAGATTTCCTCACACTGCATGCATCTCTAATTTCACCTCATAAATACTTTCATAATATCCCTAAAATCGCGCTTGCCAGAAAGGACCGTTCGTTAGGAAGAATAACGCCCGCTTTAAAATAAAAGATTTGCACTTAAAAAAAAATCCGGACCACAGCTTTTTTTATGATTATTTTGTCTCCTTTTTTCTCCCCCCGATAAGATGTGAGAACTTTTTTTTGGAGGGGGGGAGGGATAGTGTGAAATGAAGGACACAAAGACAGTATATCAGTGAAAAGAAGAAAGTGGCCCTTTAATGAGAACCAAAGAAAACCAAAACGTAGATGAAGTGTACCGTAAAAGCTGCTTCAAAGTACATCCTAATTCCCCTGAGTTCAGCCATCACATAGATTTGGTAATTGGGAGTTTACTGCGCAGAGGTAAGGCAGCATGGTATGGATAACCCTATATTTTTTTCCATTCAATAATTATAGATACGTTTCCAGACTGCCTTTGCAAAGAGCCATCAGATATTAGAGACCTTTTCTTCACGTGAACTGAAGGCAGATCCTGTCACCATAGATAGCTACCTGCATGTTCACAGTTAAAATGATTTTTCCCTTTTTATAATTATGATCATGGCTTCAGGTGTATGTTTAACAGCTCTGCGTATGCAATAACTTCATCAAATATATGCTGATGCCTTTAATGGTATTTGCTTCCATGCCTAGGTTTCATTTTGTATTTATTTTCTGACCTTAGCGTTTCTCTATTACCAAAAGTCCCCACAACTAACAGAGCAATAAATCCAAACAAAAAATAAGACAGATTTCCTCGTCGATGTGTAATAAAGTTAAAGGACATTGTTTTGTCAGACAAGCGCTAAGTAGAAAATAAATCTTTGGGTCTGGGGAAACAAAACGGAATGCTGTTGGCATGTGTGTAAATTTACTTTTAAAAGCAATAAATCAATGTTAAATTAAACAGCTGGGTACCCTATGGTGGAGAAGGTTTCATGTTTAAGAAAACCTAGACGGTGAAATGTGCTATTTAAGAAGACACCAAGGAAGTTAAACCTTTATTTCAATTCAGCCTCTAGTTTCTCTGCGTATGGGTTGCATCTGAACTTCAGGGGCTTCTATGAACTTGACTGAGTGAGAAGAGAGACAGAGATTTGCACCCAATGGCTAACGTCAGATCTTTTCCCCACATGTTACACATACCCTTTACCGTCCAAGATGCATTGTATATTCTTCTTTCATTTAGTGCGTTCGGGGTAAATATTGTAGCCTGTCGAAATAGTTTAATATTATTCTTATCTAAATGCTAATTTCATCATTTCTGCAATCATGACACTGATACATTCCACGCACATTAGCTGGACATAGAAATGGCTGCGCTTTAAAACGAAAACCTATTTTCAGTGCATCCAGAAGCGACTGAGAAGGAAGCTCTGATCACGCTTTCCACATCAGCTGAAGTATTTCAGTGCTTATTTTCCTACATCCGAGGGCAATGTATATGTTTAAATACGCTTTGCTGTTAAAAAGAAACTAGCACAACATACAACAACATTTTAGAACTCTGATATGGACACAAGACGAATCAATAAGTTATTAAAAAGCCAAAACCATACTAGCAATACTGTGGAACAGTAAATGACGTGGCTCTGCGGCTAGCATATGTCTATGTGATTGAACATTTTGAAGATAAGAAGTAAAATTTAAAAAGGACCTGACAATAAAGCTATTTTCACACACAGGGGTATATTTGTGTTAGTTATTTTCTCTCAAATACAATGAGGATGATTCAGATGGGGAATTTATAATGGCTCTTCTTTATTACGAAAGCTCCGATATACTTTCAGACTGGCTACAATTTACACAAATCATTGATGTCTTTGTTTAATTTTTGCAAAAATAATGTAAACATGGTTTAGACGCATCTCCCCCCGCCCCCCCCCCCGGAGTTCTTAAAAGTTTCCAGAATAAAAGGTAACCTTAGAAAAATAGGAACTAAGACAGAGATTTAATATCCGCTGCCATTGTTTTCATGTCTTGGATAAATACAGTGTAAAGTTTTTACCAAAAACATTTTAATCCAAGTGTCACCAAGGACATTGGTGCTATATCATACAGTATTGAAAGCATTGTATTTTGGTCTTACTTTCAGTGCACCAGCATACCGTCTGGGATGGGAGGGTGGTTCAGAACTATGGTATAAATTCGCGATTGCTTCTCACGATAATGGGCCAGGAAGATTTTTGCATCAATATTTCCCCTTCAAGATACAAGTTGGAGATAATGAAGACTGAAGGTTAATAACTGTCAGCCAGGTGCACTGTGCTCTTATACCTTAATATATAAATACCTCTATGCTGGAAAGTGTTCAAATATCAATTCATTAGAAAAGACTGGGAAATAGATTGTTCTAATAAATAGAAGAACAAGTGAAGGACAAAGAGTGGAGCTGTCCCTTAAGATACAGAAAGGAGACGCAGAGCCTCTGTGTATGGATTGTCTGCTGGTGATGTATTGCCTAGGGAAGAGTGCTCAGCCCAGGTAAAACTGGGGAGAAGGGAGTGTAAGTTTCCATCTCTCTCTCACTCACACACACTCTCCCTCTCTACTCAAGTTGCCTCTTCTGCACTTTGATTCTAAATTTGTTGGCTAGATGGCGCTCTGTGTCTCAAGACCTTCCAGTTCAGACTTAAAGCTGCCTTTTAGCATCGTCCCGGATTTTCTATCTTCACTTGAGAAATACGCAGACAATACCTAAGAGTAATAATAACAATAATTTTAAAAACATTCTGAGAATTGTAATGACAGATCTGAAAAAAATAACCCCCGGATTAAAAACATGGCACTAAAGAGGGAAATTTGAGAGGTCTCATTTATGCCAACTCATGCTTTAAAACACCTAATGAAATACCTTAGTAGCAAAATGTACCTAATTTGTATTTGAATAGTGAAATAAATCAGCAGTTCGAGACTTACTGTTGCACTGCAATATAAATACGTTCATTAGGTCCAGTTTCAATATATATAAATATAAACACGTCCTACTAAGTTAGCTTTCTTGTCACTCTGTCATTAATTGCTCAAAACAATTATGATATATTTAAAGTGAAAATGTCATAAAATCAAATATAAGCTTTTGATATTTTTAGGGCTGAAATGCCTTTGAACAAACCATACTTACTACACGTTTCAATACCTTACGTAAAGATAAATAACGTTAAATGTATAAGGAATTTTGGTCCATGTTCTAAATGTATTCAGCTTCTTGTTAGAGTAAAAAAAATAATGATATTTGTTGATTTTTTAAAAACTAGTACTTTTTTGTGGAAAATGCCCTTCTTCTTAGGGGCGAAATGGAAACGTTACTTTTAACAGATAAAACTAATAAAGAGTAAAAACTATTTTTAATTAATATATACTGTATGTTGCGCTTTTTAAAATCAAGATGGCAGCTTTATAGCATTTACCATAAAGAGGAATGAGTTAGGCTGGCCTCACTGGAAAAAACTTTGTAAATTATTGTTGTTTTTATCATTTGGTTTCTCTGTTATGCGATCATTGCAAAGCCTTTCTCTAGGTGTTAGGCTGTAACTAGGAGGCGCTGAAAACCTAATGCGGAAAATTTACAACTTGATCAGCTACAAGCCACACACACCAAAAAATCTGCTACTGTTGCAAACATATGTTACGGATTAAGTTAAGCAAATGGCTCTAGTTTTGCAAGATTGAAAGCTGATAATAAAAACCTAAATGCCGAAGAGTTTGGCTTTTGTTATAGTTCTAATTCTTCAAAAGTTAACAAATCCCCCTCTATCTTTTTGGAAAACTTCATGTATCTGAGAAGATTGCCTGGCTTAACTCCACTTCGGCTGTACTTCTGTATGACTTTAGCGTTGAATTTAACAGAAATTTAAAGCGGTTAGGGATTCATTTCGGTGAACAAATATTTAGGCAGTAGCTAATATCTAGAGCTTAGTGTTTATAAGTGGGAAAGTATTTTAGACATTCCCCTTCCAATGATAGGGAGTCTTAGGATCAGAAACACTGTTGCTTGTGAAGAGAATTACTTTTGCCTATTCCCTTTTATGATGTAGTACATACCTACCAGTCAAAAAGTCCACTTCTCCTGCTTTTAAAGTGTTAGGATTAAATAAACACAATGTGGTTTTCCCCTCCATAGTTTGAAATATGAAGGACAATATTATTCAATCCTCTTATTTGCTCAAGAAAGAATAAAATTATGGATGATCTTTAATGAGGATGCTCACTTTCTAGCAAGGTATTCTGACAGTTTACCACCTATTCTAACCGTCATTGCCATTTCTAGTCAAAGCTCCTATAAGTCATGGCTTGTTTGTCGGGGAGAACTGTAGGCTTTAGAGCTCTCTGAAGAAAATTACACTGTAATATATTACAGATATACACACTCGTACACACATATATTATGGGCAAATAGGATCAGAATCTGGCCCCATATTTACAAATATTAGATTGAACTTATTTTTCTTGACAATCAAGAGAAACTACATTATACGATAGGAATAAAATTACAACCATGGAGTTTTACTCAGGAATATTACCTGAGAAGTAATTACTTTCCATACAAACACATAGTGGACACTTTGAGCGATTATTGATTTTCAATAAATTAACTAAAGTATATATACATATAAAGTGTGTGTGTGTGTGTGTGTGTGTGTGTGAGAGAGAGAGAGAGAGAGAGAGAGAGAGAGAGAGAGAGAGAGAGA